GGGCAGCCACAGCTTCTCTGGACAACCTGGGTGAGGGTCTCACCACCCTTCTCAGGAAGAATTTATTCCCCAGATCTCGTCTAAATCTCCTCTAACCTTCGGATTTCACTTTGGAAAGCAATGCTGCTAATGCATATCACATCCATGGTGTCCTGAGCATCTGTACCTCTGGGTAGGTCCTACAAGACATCCACCACCCCTGGGCTTCTGCTCCCGCTCCCATGCCAACTTCTTGGTTCGTGTGGGACAACCACTAGTTTCTAATTATGAGCTAATTCAGGATGCTGTGGTGTTTCCAGAGTCCCGTGTGCCTGGAGAAGATGTTTTTATTTCTCCGAAAGCCGCTGGCAGTTGCAGGTGTTGAGCCCATCTCTGCAGATCGCAGCCCAAGCCCCTGGCCCAGGCTGTGTTGGTTTAGCAGCCCCGTGGAGGACAATCACAACCATCTGCCCTAATTCCCCGCGGCACATTTCAGCAGAGCGGGGTTTGCTTCACAAGCATATTATGCCTCGAAATTTCCTGTTGTTTTCACCCAGCTTGTTTATGGCAAATAGACCCTTGAGATCCAGTCCTTTTGTCCGGGAAAGCTTTAATGATCTCGGAGTCATTGTGTTGGCATCAGTTTAATTCCAGCTGCTATGAGCTGGCAAGCTGATGGGAAGAGATGTGTTTATGGCATCTCTGGTTATTTTGCTCGGGTGCACAGTGCTGTGCTAACACAGACTTACAGGGGCTTGCACGGCCGTTAATTAAAGACACTTTGTAAAGGTATCAGCAATCATCTTGCAGACATGAGAAAGGTGAGCCTTGAGAAAAGAAACCTTGCCTTGCCTGGGTCTCCTTTCTTTGGAGATGCCATAATTTTTATTGCACATTTGAGTGACTGAATGTGAAAACAATCCCTGTGGGGTCTCGGGGTGGGGGGAAAGAGGAGAATCCAGTGTCTATTGATGGGAGACACGGAGGGGCTCAGACCTGGCTGGTCATCACCGAGGAGCGCGGTTCCTCTCCCAAGGAGTGCATTTCCTCTCCCAAGGAACTCCCTTCGCTTGGGAGGTTGTTTTATGGAGGTGCAATAGTGTTTATTTTATTTTATTTTTTTAATGGCTGCACGGTTGTGTTTTCAGTTCACTGAAGGTTTTCCTGCAGCGTTGTGGTTGTTGACAGGGAGGTCCTGGTGTCGATACTGCTAATTTTGCTAATTCGCTTGATGTTTGGTGTGTTTTTTTCCGTCGTGGTGCCGAGCTCTGGCACCTTCAGTTGGGTTTCCCTGGCGATTTTGAGCATTGGGTGTGATTTAAAAGGCAGCGAGGTCCTTGGTGTATCTCTGCTGACACGGCCTTAATAAAGAAGGCGAGGATTTTCTAGGATTCCCATGGACAAACATAATCTGCTGCAGGAGGTAAATATCGGGATAAACATAGCGCTCCTTACCTTTGGAACTCAACCAGAGCCTTATGAAACAGAGAGGAGGAGGAGGATGTTTTTATTTTTTTATTTCCTTAACAAAAATGCATTAATTATTTCCTGTATCAGTTTTGATCAGAAGAACAGGAATTACCTGTGCTTTCACCCGATCTCCCCATGGTGATTTCAATGTCTCAGAAGGAAAGTGCTGGAGGGGAGGGGAGGCAGTGGTCTCTCTGCAGGGTGAGGAGGGAGGGGACAAGGACTTTTCTCAGCCTTTTTCAACACACCGTATGTTCCCAAAGCCTTGACACTCCTTCAGCCAGCGAAGCTCCGAGGGTACAGCTTGTGTCTGCGGTGACGCGCTGCCGACTGCCCGGGTGCTCCGTGTGAGCGGGTGTGATGCTGTCACTTGACAGCGTTTGATTTTGGTTTTTATTTGTTATCATTATGAATTTATTTTTTATTCGGGAAGCGGCAAAACATCTCTGTTCTGCCGCCCCGTTTTGCTGCTCGTCGAGGCGATGTTTGAGCTGAGGGGAGGCAGGCTGGCAGGTACGGGTGGAAGCCAACTGCAATTACAAATCCCTTCGTTAGCGATCAAAGCGTTGCTGCGGTGGGGTAGCTCGTGGGCTTCCAGCCGCCGGGATGTTGGGGCTGCTGCGTGGGCTTTGATGTGTTGATGGGTGGATGATGATGATGATGATGGGGATATCAGGAATGTGTTGGCGTGTAACGCGCTGGAATCAAACGGGATGTGCAGGAGGGTTGGTGATGGGAGGTGGTGGCTCCATGATGGGTTTTCACCGGGGCATTATATAGTGTCTCAAAGGAATCTTGGATTTTTGGGTGTCAGTGAGTAACCCGCTGGCTCTTTCTCCTCTGGGGAAGTCGGTGGAGGTGTTGGTTGTGTGTCCACAGCACCTGGGCGGGAGTTTCTCATCGCACACCTTTCCTTGATGTGCTCTCTAACGAGGAGATGTTTGATGAGAACCTCTTCACTTGAGGGCACCGTGAGGGTACCCGTCCTGCTGCAGAGCAGGCTTTTCTTCAGCCACATCCCATCCTTCTCTTGGAAAAACCATCCTTTTCTTGGTTCTGCTTGGAGATGCTGTGGATGGGGAGAGCTCTGAGCTTTTT